GGAAAGTTTCAGCAAAAATTATTCCGCTGTTTCCAAGAAGAGGATAAGGAACCACTGTGTGGATTTTGTCCATATTAATGAATTGGTTGTAGGAATGTTATTCTTAGAAGTGCTAATTTCTCCAGGCTTTGGAGCAGGAGTTTAAAATTTGGGAGGGAGTGGCCATTGTGACAGGAAAGTGCCTTTGGCTTTTTCCATGAAAAAATGCCAGATTTGGCCAAGAAAACATTGCCATTTGTACATGCTCAACAAAGACTTGCCAGAGTCTTCAAAGAATCTGTCTGTACTGAGCATGCTCCAGTCCTTCCTAGCTCTTCAGTGCCACGGGACTGTGTATGCACCATCCCAGTGATGCTGGGGTTGAACAGCTCAAGGCTGGGGCAGGACACTAGAACTGAGGCCAGGGTACTGTCTATCCTGTGCTCTCAATGCTCCCCTGCTAGCATCCAGGTTGTGAGGAGAGAGAAGAAGCTGCCTGATACAGGATGCGGGAAAGTAAGGAATATGTGGTAAGGAGGACATAGGTGGGGGCAGGGATGGGAGGGAAGAAGAGTGGGAGGTGCATAGCAGTTGAGAGGGGAAAGCCTAGCAAGTGGGGAAGGAAGGGGGTTAGTAGAAGGAGAGCCAGTAGAAGCCCATTGCAGGCCCTACACAGAAACATTTTCCCTCCCCCAGTGCTAAAATAGGCAAGTGCTTATAATAAAAAGTGAATAGCGATTCCCTCTGAGGTGCAGAGGACTCTAAGCAATTGCCTAGCTTTGCACCAGCTCTGAGAGACGACGACAGGAGCCAAGAGGTGGAGGAAGTTGGCTAGCAACAGAGGGGGGAGAAACACAGAGGCAGAAGTTCTATCACCACAGGAGTTTTGCAAAGTTACCTTCATTATGATTGTGAATTATTCAGATACAGTGGTGAGAGCACCGTAGACACGCCCAGAAAGAAATAACACGGCATTTCGTCATTGGGGCACTAGGATGCAATCTTCCATTAAACAAACAAGCACATTCTATTTTTTCCAGAGCACCCCAGTCTCATTCAACACACAAGATGGGCCTATTCCCGGCATGAATTGGGATTGTGCAGTGAAGTGTTCCTGCTTCTGCCACAGAGTTCCTGTGTGCTGCTGGGCAAGTCCCTTAAACCAGAGCTTTTACTGCACTAATGGCCACTAATTATGGGTTTCTTGTTTTCTGGGTGCCCAACTTGGAACCCTGGGGTCTGCTCGGTGGAAATGCTAAGTGCTCATAACTACCACTGATATCAATGCCAGACTTCATGTATTGTGCTACATAATGCAAAAGGTCAGTGAAAATTCACCTACTAACAGCCAGATTTTTAAAGGTATATAAGAGTCTACAGATACTGACAGGTGTCTAATAGGATTTTCATAGACTTTTTGAAAATCCCACTAGACACATATATGAAGCATTAGGCACTTATATAGCTTTAAGTCTCAGGGTCCTAATATCTCATATCAGGCACCCAAAATTAGTGGACATTTTTTACTGTAATTTCTCAGTTCCCGCTCTATAAATAGAGATACTACTAACAGTGCACCTCACAAGGAGTTATGAAAATTAATGAATGAATGTTTAATGACAACCATAGAAAAAACATGAGGAAATTAATTGTTCTGTCTTTCAGGCAAGGTTTGAATAGTATTAATTAAAGAAGGCCTATGGCCATACACTGAGGCTACACTACAGCGCTACTTCAGGATACTGTAGGTAAACCTCATTCCACGAGGAGTAAGGGACATTTCAGAATAGTGGGTTATTTCAAAATTTGTTGCTGTGTAGACAGCATCAAATTACAAAATAAGCTATTTCGAAATTGACTCGAAATGAGCTACGCAATTTGTATAGCTCAAATTTCATAGCTTATTTTTAGCTATGGGTGCAGTGTAGATGCACCCTGAATGATGAGAATAAAACAAAATTCCAGCCCCTACTAAATGAGGGAAGGATCCTGTGCAAAAAAGCAGCATATGATCATATACTTAAAGATTGTATAATGGATATGCACCTGGGGGCCAAATGAAAGTTGCACAGGAAGCCTAAATGCTGGTATTTTCTAGGTTGTAAATGCATAATGTTGTTTTGACACTGACTTTTTTTTTTAATGCAATGCAGTATTTCATATACACAGTTAAAGAAAAAAGAGAGAATCTCACCATTATTAAGATAAACTCCTTTTAAGGGTGTGTATAGACAGGCCAGTAATATGCTTCTGGGTTTGGCTCTGCTAATGATGGCTTTAAATGCAAAAAATGAGCCATATAAAACAATATTAAATTAGACCTGAGAGAAACTAAGTGCTGCTCTGGCCCTGCACTGCCCGAGGGAGCTTTAGCCAAGCACATTATAAGCAGGAGGCCAGAAATGTCAAAGAAAGTGTAAACAACCTGTGCAGATGTGGTACTAAAGACAATCTTCCCCTCACTCTGTTCCAGGGGTATTTTTTCCTGCATCCTGCATTCAGGGGTGTGAATGTTTTCAATGAACCTTCCTGCAAGAGTGAGGTGGTCAAAAGGGGGAGGTTCTGAGGTAAACAGACACAAGTGGACACAATGTCATATTAAATACATGGCTCTTAGTAACCTAACATCCAGTTTCAACTTCACCAAGAGAAGGAAAGACACAGTCTTTATGGGCCCACGTCTATCCCCTTCTATCAGTATCCTCATCAGTTTGCACCTCTAGATTAACTGTGGCCCTAGAAGGCATGCATCAACAGTCCCCCTCAGTTCTCCATGTGGGGTGAACAGGTTTTCCCTTAGAGGGCACGAGACAATAGTTATACCCATTTTGTCCACTGGCATAAGCCAGGTTCCACCAAGACAGCATGAGGCACCATTCCACCAGGCTGGCTCAAGCTGATGAAGATGGTTCTGTCGAAATGATACTACACCGATCCATAGTTGTGTGTCTGGAATGTGCACAATTCCTCCCAAAGGTCACGGAGCTGCCCAACAGCTCTGGCTTATTTCTTAACAATGGTTTCTCTATGCAAAGGTCCTCTAGAAATGATCCAGAATGACATCAGCTGGATCGTTTGGTAGGCTGCAAAGGAGGAAGAGGAAGTATCTTCCCTGAGGAGACCTCATTATTATAACAAACTGTTCTGTAGCTTTGTACTTGGACTACTGAGGCCACAGCTCATCTGCAGGGAAAGTGTTGAGCAAGGCCTTCACTCTGGGGTAACCTGCAGCAGTGCAAACAATGCTGCCATCAGGTAAGCAGGTTTTGCAGTGATGGCAGAACTTGCACTGGTGATAACTGTTCAGCATGAAAACACTGGCTGGTCCAAGGGCAGGAAAAAGCAAGTGAAAAATAATCCGAGGGGGTGGGAAGAAATGTTCCCTCTAATCTTTTCCATCCACATGCAGATTTTTTCACCCATGTGTGGAATAAATTTTATATGCACAAAAGGATGTTAGAAGTGCACCACCAGAAGAAACAAAGAACCTAGCTGTGGACACAATACTGATCAGCTGGGCAGCATTTGAATCTCTCCTGAGTGACCACACAAGCATACACCATACCGGGAACACTGGTTGGGAGCAGCCAATTGTGAGGTCATAGTCTATGGGAGCTTGGCACCAAATTACTAATGGGAGCAGAGCCTTAAGCTTAGATAACGGCATCCATGGATTGTACAGCTGGTCTCCATTAGGCCTTTCATAAGGGATCCTCCTCCTCAGACCTCACTTATATGTGCCAGACTAAAGCTACATATAAAATTCAGCTACACATTTTAAAGTGGCAGCAAAAATTTGGAGAAACCACCACTGGTCTCACCCTCCAAGCGGGGAGATGGCATGGAGCAAGTGGTGGCAAAAGTGTAACTACCAGGTAGGAATGTGGCCCATAGCACTCTAAAGCCACATCTACACTCTGCAGAAGATTGACACAATCAATCTTCTGGAGTTTGATTTAGCAAGTCTAGTTAAGACTTGCTAAATCAAACTCAGAGTGCACCTCCACCAGCACATGGTACTCCTGCTCAGCCTCA